ATTCGATGGCGTTTGAGTATTCGCAGTGAAAGAATGTGTGAAAGCATCACAATGAAGCAAGAAACATCATCATCATGATCATCATCATCTTCCATCGCCGATTCTCCTTTCCGGTCGCGGAGGCAGACAAGTCAGACAGAACTTCGTCAACGTTCCCGATCCTGTGCCAGAGTCTGAACTTCGACAAAAGACAAATGGAGTGTGGAACAGACTTCTTCCATATGTTTGCACCAGGTCACCATCTTGGCCGTCCTTCCCGATCCTGTGCCAGAGTCTGAGCTTCGGAAAAAGACAAATGCAGTCTGGAACAGACTCCTTCCATATGTTTGCACCAGGTTAATCTTGGCCGTCCCCTGGGCTTCTGCCGGTCGGATTTGCAAGGAACAGTTGCTTAGCCTTCCTTTCTGGAGGCATTCGCAACACATGCCCAAGCCGCCAGGAACATCATACATACATATTCATGTCTTGGTAATTTTAGAGTCAGCATTAAATGTAGTCCTCAGGAGACGATGTGCTGAGCGCAAATTTCTACAGGCTGCGTTAACCGCTATTCTTATACACTGGACTACGATGATCCTGTCACTGCAAAAAATGCACCATTTACATTTATTCTGTTACTTGACATACCGTTTTACGCTGCTGTATGTCACTGTCGAAAAAGGGCTTCATTTTGTCACTGGTTTAGGCAGTATAGCAAGAATAACATTAATGCTGAAGGAGAAAATTTTAACAAATGCACGGCGCTGTATAGGTAAAATTCCAAATTTGCATACTGCCAGAAGAACGTTTTCGCTACTACCTTGGAGAGGGAAATGAAATCCACCTCCATCTACGAATCAAGCAATTTAATCGGTTTTGTATAACGCGGGATACCAATGGCGTGAGAAATGCAGTTGAATTTTCAGAATCAAAGTCAAGTACAACTGCCTCCATACTGAACTTCCAACGTTCAACACAGGCACAGAAATGCGGCGTTATGTCAGCAGAAATCAAAATTTAACCCCATCTGAATTCATTTGGAGGCAGATGACGACAGATAAGTCGGTCGAGTTTGCAAAACATCGGTCGGTGGTAGCTGAAAGTGACAAGCGATTGCATTGTCGAAACAGTACTGAAACGTAGCCTCGAAGGTCAGGCAATGCAGTAGTGTTTGCTATGCCAAAGGAGGCCAGATCTGAACTATTATAGTGTAGAATGGCTTTTATGAAGCAAATGTGAAAATTTTGGCATCAAGTGGATTCATCTAGAAGTAAACAACGAAGCAAAGGAAAACTACACGGTGTGTGAAGCGTACGCAACGTCGGACTTGCCCTCAATTTCAGTGCTCAAGGTTATGTAACATGCTAATCAAAATGACACTCAATTCGGAACCACTGCAGAAATGGAAATACGGTTCTGTGTAGGTAAAGGTCAAATTATTACCTTTACCCACTAGTCGGAACACATCTGGAAGCAAGTGCAGACTTAAATAAATCAATAATTCAGGCCGAGTAAAACAAGGCCTGAATCGAAGGCGCGTGAGAGCGCTCAAACTGCCGTCAAGTTTTGTTTCCGATGGTCAACTGCAGTCAACTAGATATGAAATTTTGAACAACTGCACGAAAACGCAGTTGTGTGAACGGAAGTTCGTCCGGGATGTGAAAACTACGCTCAAGTTGAATCTCCAAGGTTCAAAATACGTGAAATAGAGTATTAAAAACTACTGATGGAATGAAACTCTGAACAAATGCACAGAAGCACGAGACTGTGCATGGAAAGTTAGAAATTTGTCATTCATCTCGTCTTTCCGCACCTC